TATATATATATATATATAATTATATATATACAATACAGTGTTCAAATAGTAACATGGTGTAATAATCGTCAACGAAAGTAATTGCCATTACTCATCTCAAACCGACAAAGCCTATAGGCATTCAGTTAAGCCTAGACCTACAACATAATTACATACTGTCGGTATATCCCAATTTACGACATATAGAGACGGCCTGATGATAATTTAGGGAACTAATCCTCTTTAGCTCAAAACACAAATGTACTTATCTTCACTAATCCATCACCCAATAGTATACATTGAGATACACCAAGCAAAAAGAGTTAACGAGTAGATAATTATAGATTTTCTTTTAAATAAAAAAAACCAGGATCATTATCATCAGTATCATCATCACCATCGTTATCATCATCATTGTTATTACTACTACTAATATTAAGGTACAAGATAAAGGTAGGAGAACAACCCATAACACGCAGCGTCATTGTGCAATTGCGTATCGGCGTGGTCCGTGACTACTTAGTCGTCGTAAAGAGGCGTTTACAGTGGCTACATGTTCACATCATTCCATCAAAGACAGGGGCTGAAATGAACCATAGCATCGGGGAAAGCCTCTACTCTTTCGAAAGACGCAATGGGTTCTTTATTAAAGTGCACACGAGACTGATGTCGACACGGGACCTCTATTTTAAGTCTTTATCCGAGAAGACTTGTTCTCCAATCGAACCAGTGCCGATATTAAGGCTGTAGTTACCGCTCGGCCCCTGGACTTCCCAGAACTTATGGGGGGGGGGGAATCATTATAAACCCGTGAGCTCATCAATAATGACTGCAAGTAAGGTGGTGCTAAAAAAATTACATAGCTGCAGGGTAAATATAATTAAGAGAGATATTCCTAAGGTAAGACGATTGTTTAACGTAAGCGTCTTAAACCAGCTCTAATCGATTTGTAGAATGCCAATATGTTAGGCATAAGGTGAGATAATCACATGACAATGATAAAACATGGCGTATCAATAGATAGTGAAGCGTATTCTGAGATGCCCGAAGAGCGCGCACTTTTAGGCCACAGAAAGACAATGAGAGGACATCGTCTTACACGAACCGATTGTGTTACAGACAATGGTCGTACAAGTTGGAAAACTTTCAGTTACTCAGCGATTTAGTAGGACCTAATTTGTTATTTGTGAACATGTTTGTCTATGTTTTCACTGTAGAGTGTTTGTAAACCGTCTATCCGCTTAATCAAACAAAACATACACTGATGATTGTATAGAGGTTTAACAATCTATTACACAAACATATCCAGAATATCCGTACATTTGTGAACACGAAAATCGTGCTTAAGTTAGAACGCTAGGCCCTAACACAATAAGTAACCGTTCTTCGAGAAGACTAAAATTATTATTATAATAATTATGATTATGACCTTATGTGAAAACACAAAAAATACAATTCTATTATTTTAATCATTAACTTATTGGTATATGATACTTTTGTGGTATCTATAATAGTGTGCGGTTTGTTCGTATTTAAGTTATCATTACCGAATTCAGTCCAATGCTATAATAGGTAACGTCACAGGTAAATTCTAGATTGTTATGCTACTTTACGTGCATTGGTTAACGTATCTATGCATACAAAACCATTGCATGCTCTATTTTAATTTATGGGTTCTTTTTTTGAACGTTTGTAGTTTATAGTTAGGCCATTATTGAAATCATTAATTTAAGCCATAATTTGTTACAATGGACATGATTTGACCTTTTAATTACTTGAAATTATGAATATTTTCATTGAATAACTGAAAGATAACATAACAGAGAATAGGCCTAGAAAATTATTCAAAGGTTAGCGAATAGTAGTTTCTGACTGACCTAGACCAGTATGAAATTAGACGAATATGTTTGATATAGCGCCATTATCCAGTTCATAAACCGCTCAACTGTGATTCAAATTGTGGAAACTAAAAGCTAAAAAATAACTTGACGATTTGTCACTCCAAGTTAACACCCAAGCCGCTTTATGAATTAAGGATACGCCTTTTTTTCGCCAGATTGGGATCATGAAAGACTAGATCGAAAGCACAACAGTTTCACTGAATAATAAGTTCCAACTTGTTTATATTTATAGGCCTACTAGGCCTCACTAAATTTTCGATTTTAAAGTTTTACTCTAAAGACCAATCAAATATCAGATAATTTTTAAAGTAAAAAATAAACAAAAGTGGATGAATTGTAGGCCCTACATGCGTCCTAAAATTCAAGTTCAAAAAACAATTTAACAAACTCAGTCAAATTGTGGTTGGTCTTTTATTTACATGTCCCATAAATTATGTATTACAGCTGAATCGTATTATTATAATAATACAATTCTACAAATAGCCTCAGTATTTTTAATGACTTTTATTAATTTTACTAAATTATAAAATTACACTTTTTGTTAATAGGCATAGATTGTTTTTATTTAAGTTTTCCGATAACTGTTAATAACTTATTTTATTGTTTCAAATCTGTAGGCCTAGATTGGCGCTTTCATTAGATGAAGAAAAATAAATGGTAATGGTCTTCCACTCATATAGCGCATAATACTGCGCAATGTAGGCCTAAAAATGATAGGCCTAAAATAAACACCATCTCAGTCGTTGTGGTACTAGAAGCTGAGACAACTATACACGTGTATAGATGTCTTAGCTAGAAGTAAGACAAATTAAATTCATCTTTATCAAAAGTTTCATGAGCATGTGTTGATTTTGAACGAATTCGTGACAGATCGGAAATTTCCAGTAGGTAGGTGGTGCTTCTTTCAGCAATTGTTAATACACTGCAAATAACTTCTTTTTCAGTAAGTTAGAGGTAAAGAGAATAATAATTATAAAGTTAAACTGTAGCCGTGTTTGCTAGCTCACGTAATACTTCAAGTGAGTAGGCCTATCATTCACTAGGGCCTTAGACCTACGCCTAAGACCGTGTTTCCATTGTGGAAAATCAAATAATGAACTTGTGTTACGTCATGGGTACATACCGTATATGACTAAGTATTAACATGGATTTATAAACGTATGGATATGTGGTAGGCAAAGGTTAAGACGATTAAATGTGAGTGTCTTATCCATAGGCCAATAATCGATTTGTACATCGTCAATTGGTTAGGCTCTGATATCAGGTGATACCGTCAATCACAAAAACACTATGATGTGAAGAGGATTTTACTACGGCAAAAAGCACGCACTCTTCATTCAATATAAGTGCGTGGGCATGTTTTACACGAACCTTTACGTCACTCACAATGGCCGTATATAAGTTTTAAAACGTTCAGTTTCATATTCAATCCAACTCATTTGTTTTGATGTTGGCTCTATTGGTATAGGCCTATTTTGTTTTATGTTCGGTCACCCCATACAAGGCAAAGGTTAGGATGTTTATGAAGAAAACATTTGACACAAGATTTAAAATTTGGAAGGAAAAAGAAAGGAAATTGGAAAACAATCAGCTGGCAAAGTATTCCAATGAAAAGCCGAACGAAATCTAAAATTATCATAATTTCATCGTTTTCCATCATAAGGTCATTCAAATAGGTCGACCCACCATAATATTCTAACTAGCTTAAACGTAGGCTTATATTTTAATTTCAATTCTCTTAGTCATTTTATTTTAATAATTCATTTTACATAAGCCTATACATTTAGATGATAAACCTAAGATTGATGACGTAAATAAATAAGTTCGTCATTTTGTTTACTAATTTTTTAAAATATTTAATATAATGTAATCTGTTTAGCTTCAGTCTTTAATTGAATGTCTTTTTTGCTTCAAACTTTGGCATTTTTATTGCGTCTTTCCAACGGCAAGAAAACGCTGTTCTAAATTGTTGATGTATTGTTTAACCAAGGAGCTGTAAAATGCAATAAAATTAACAGCTCCCTGATTTAATAATTATAAATATTGAATAATAGAAATCTAGTATGCGCTGTATGCTACAATCATTACGATGAGAGGAATTTGCATAAGAAGGACTATTATACCAGTGTAAATCTGGAGATCGTCGATTCTATTATTCCCACCTGAATCACCTGCGATTTCTATTTTCAAAAGTATCTTCTGACCATTAAGAGCGGTAACACTTCAGGTTGTGTAAACTCAACATACCCTATTGTATTATAATTACAATCTATCTATTTCTGATTAGTGGCTATAGTAATTTATAATTCCTGCAGGTGTTTCGCCGTACTTTCGCTTTTTCAAACCGCCTATCCGCTTAATGTTAAAACAAAGCAAAGAAAGAAGTCTAACAAAAGGCCTATTACGTGTAATTATTTACACAAACATTTAACTTGATGCTCATATTTGAAACGCAAACGGTGCTAAATGTACAGTTCTAAGGAATCACTATTACCGAGTATTTTGTGAGAGCGATGACAGGAAGTATTCTTCCGAAATTCATGTCGTTTTTGTTTAGAACCAAGAGACACCAATATCAATACTGGGAAGCAACCTTTAGGCTTATCTGGTAAATCACAGAGGCTACTCAAAACAAAGCTCCACACGTGCAGAGGCAAACTTGAATATTTACACAAACGATGCATTCCCTTTAATTTGTTGTAATACTTCAGATGTTAAAGTAATCGGAAAACTGATATGTTAATATACAACTCATCACGTTAATTTAGTCACCGTAGTATTGAGTTTATTTCCTGCATAGTTTGTTCTTTAAAGCATTCGGAAAAAACACGTTTTTTTTGGCGATGAATTCAATATAACGATATTTATTTTCAGTAAAATTGTCCCATAAAAGGCATTATTAATTTATATACTGTATACACCGATGCATTTACAGCTATTATTCTCTCGCTACAGACGCCATAACTGTAGTATTGCGGTGGGGAATTCTCATACATCGTCTGCTACAAATGTAAGAAAACCCGGGAATTGTACGTATAGGCCAAATCTATTTTAAATAAAGACTTGCACGACATGACTGGGGACCCCGACTGGATTTGTGTATACGTATACAGTATTAATATATTTCAATTTATTTCGACATTTAAAAAAAGTTAATTTAACGTTGGTGGCAGCAGACTAAATACTTGGTCACTATGGCATCGCCTGCTGGACCGTAGGTCCAGGAGGCTTGTATAGCGGAGGAACTCGAGTCCATGTGTCTTCCTGCACTCTGTGAGATACATAAATAAAACAAAATAATATACATTTGAATTTTAAATTTATTTCTTAAATATGAATATCACAGCATATATACAAAAACAAGAAGTAGGGCCTACAGGGCCTACAGGGCCTATCATTTTAGAATGAACAAAACCAAAAACTGTATTCTCAATGTTGTTGTCTTTTTCTTTTTGAATTATAAAATACAGATTTAAAATTAAATATTGTTTGAGATACAAACTTTCATGATAGCGTGTTGAGCGCGTCTGGGTTATACTAGATCATCGCAAATTTATGGTTCAGAAATCGTTTCCCAAAAACCGTTACAAATTTCAGCGTAAACCGCATTTGCGCTATGTTGGTTATTTTAGGTGAAAAGTGTTAAATTGTTTCAAAATTCACACAAGATAAATAGGCATAACAACAGGAAGAGGGAAGAGGCCAAAAGGAGAAATAATCTCGAACAATCTGGGTACCTCTTAGTGGCCAAGTTTATATGTAAATAAACCCAAAAGGCACTCATCCGTAAGTGGACGTATATACGTACCTACTGGACATTTTATGATCGTGGCAAGCGTTTAGTCTCTCTGTTTCGACGTTCGTTGTGAACAGTACATCTTGACCGTTGCAGGGGTAGCACTGCCCGGTCCAACTGACCGTTGTCTCGCCGTTGTTGCGCACGGTCGTATAGCCAAAAGTGATGTACTGCATGTTTTTGGCTGCGTAACCGGCTATGATAGTTGGTGCTAAATAATGCGAAAAGAATGGAAGTAATTATGAGTATGTAGTCGCGTGCCCCTGAGTATAACAGTAATCTACTGCGAAATAAGCCTATCTAATGCTGGAATTTTGGTCTTGACGGGAGCTCAGTATAAATAACACAGTCCTGGGAAGAAATATTTCAATATTTGACATTTGGTTGGCATTCATAACAGTTTTATCATATTGTTTCGGTGGTTCGCTGGTAAAAGTTATTCACTATTATGATTTTTAAATTAAAATAAGTGGATGTATTATATTATTTTTAAATATATTACTAATTGTGGTGTTTCTCCACAAGATTATACATCATATGGTTGTCATAGTGTCTTATTTTCCTGTAACTTTAGAAACACGCGCAAAGGAAACATTTAAGGGAGTACAGATTTGGTCTCATAAATCGTCTATTGGGACGATATTTTTTTTCTTTTTTCAAAAAACTATATTATTTTTTTATATCTACTGTAAATTTTAACGCTTCGGTATAAAGCGCTTTATAAATCCACCTACATTACATTACATTTAGAACCACGTGCAAATTAAGCAACATAGGCCACACGTAACTTTCACACGTAACCATGTTACTTACACGAATGGCCCGACGTAACATCCTCTTCACTTCTGATACTTCCCACTATCTCACTTTGGGATGGCGTCTTCGTCAAATTTAGCTGGTCGCCTTTTATGTTGTACCATACGCCCTCTATCGGGCAATGGTGAACTGGAAGAAAGGAGGCAGATTCATAACCAACACGTTCTTTATAATTAATATTCTAATTACTTAAAACTTATTATAAATATTCTAAAAAAAGATCAAGAAATAATGTAGCCATTGAAGTAATATGTACAGTGGAAGATGCTAAAGAGACATTTATTTAGTTCTATTTATTTCATAATTTTTTTTTGTTGGTCCAATAAAACCAAAGTTCATCATTACATAGGTCTACACTCAATATAATGCAATATAATATAACGTAACGTAACGCGACGTGACGTAAAGTAAGGTAACGCACGTAATGTATCGATTTATTATGTGGTAGTTTCAATCCACCACTATAACAGAAAAAAGAATAAAAACAAGAGAATTGATTTATTTATTTCGTGAATATGATTTGTGTCTCGGACAAGCTCAGCTTCTAAACTTGATCCAAATTGATGGATTCTTGTATTGTTTCTTTTTCCAATTGATTGAATAAATGTGTGTAAAAAACTATTATAACTATTAATCAATTCAGTATACAATAAAAAAAATCTATATATTTGATTGGATTTAACATTTAAAGATATTAGAACGATATAAATATTTAATCTGATTTAAACTACCTCATCATTTACAGGTATTCCATATAAATATGCAGTTTCCAACACCTTTATTGATAGCTGATATAAGTTCAAACATTGATAATTATAAGCAAGGCAAATGGTAGAATTACAAACAAATCTCTTGAAATGGTAGAATGGATTAAGGCTAGGAAAAATAATGGTTGGGAGAAGAAAATACTCACCAACATCACAATTTGTACCGCTGTATCCTTCCTGACACACGCACTTGTACTGATTGTTACCTTGGTCCAGACAAGTTCCATCGTTAATGCATGGTGACGAAGCGCAGCCCTCATCAACTGTTGGTAGAAACCAACAGTGTTAACTCGGGTTTGAATAAAAGTTTTAGGGGGCATGAAAGATGAATATCATATCTCTTTTATTTTATATATACATATATTTTTTTATTCAACAATTATAAACATGTGCATAAAAGTTTATGACAGTCAACAATGAATTACAAACTGAGTAAAAAAAATTCTCAATGATTAAAATATACAGGCAATTCTCTCTCATTATTCAAAGCTAGCTAAATCTGAAATAAACTGTAGTAGACGTTTGACTTACGTATTTCACAGTTGGGACCCGAGTACAGTGGAGGGCAACGACAGTGATACATGTTTTCCATATTAGCGCAAACAGCGCCGTTAAGGCATGGGTTGGAGGAACACTCGTCTATATCTATAAAAACATTAAATGAAATTAGAATTTGTCACTGCAGATATCGCTCTTTCATGTGTGTACTTCTAAATGTCTTCGAGAGCCCCTCTCTCCAACAAGATGGCGGTAATTTCGTCTGTAGGCCAACACCGTCAGCGAATACCAACTCTTAACATTTCTTTTAAGAGTAAACTGTGGTCGTATTGTAGACTTGCATGCACTACATAACATATATTATTTATTAAATATTTTGGCATCTTATTACTCGTTCCAAAACTTACATTTAAGTTCAAAAACCTATACTTATGTTGACTACACACTTGACGTGATGCCTCTGTGAGGTCACTGTCAACTATTTATCATCCAGAACCAAAGTCGTAAGATTCACTTCAGCAACTAACATTACCTGTACACTTGGAGGTTCCTTGCCCATGGTACGTCCAGGCGCCGTTGGAACAAGAAGCCGAGGACGGACCTGTGAGGTAGTATCCCGGATCGCAGACTATGTCCACTGTCGATCCATGCGATGTACTACCAAGGTAGGTTCCGTAAACTGGCGTTATTGGGTCAGTGCAATCAGCTGCCGCAGAAGGTTTTAATATCGGTAAGAAAGAATAAAATACGGGCCTATAAGTAATTATGGACAAAAAGGAAACAAACTTAATCATTTAAATGCAAATATGAGATTTTAACCAACTTAAATCTATTAGAATATGTTTTTGTCCTACATGTGTTATTTTACAGAATGTTCTGCACTTTCTTAAAAAATCTCGCAAGTGATTTGGGTGGGAATCGAAACCACGACCTTCATATAGTGTCTTAACCACTAGCGCCTGTGGCTAGTGTAGGGCAAAAACATTAATAATTTTCCGAGAAAAACACCATCAGAATAATTTGAATCTAATTACATAAAAAATGTTTTGAAAAAAATGAGGAAAAATTTGTTACAAAGGTAACAAAGGCATATCGTACTTACATTTACATACCACTTTATTATCGCCTGGTGGATACCATCTTGCATATTGATCACATGTGACCCTAACTGACCCCTGTTTGAGGACTAGCGTATAACCCGGATTGCATTTAAACTCGACGGTTGTACCTAATGGCACTGGATACTGAGTTATCTTCTGTCCCGTGTGGAAATTAGAATGGTAGCCTTTTTTAGGTTCATTGACAGGGGCTGGTTCAAAACAAGCTATAATAAAACAAGAAAAAATAGACTAGCAACTCCCTATGAATGTATACTTTCTTTATAAGGTAATCGTTATATTTATTCACGAGTAAAAATCAAACTAAAGTAGAACCCCTATTTAGGGGACACCTTCGAGACCAGAAAGTGTCCTCTTAATAGGGTGTCCCCTGAATAAGAGTGCCTATAATGTTAAAAGATTTGCTTTCGTTTTGTGGCCAAAAGAAGTGTCCTGTTAATAGGGATATCCAAATGGAGGGGTTCTACTGCTTAAAATTTAACTTCAAAATACTGCAATGCTGTTCAACGGGCACCTGATTTCTGATAAAAAATTAAGAAAATCAACAACATTCGCAAAAGAGACAATTACTAGGCCTACTTATAAAACGAGTCCTATATAAAATTAGCATAATTGAATAGGATTTAACTGTACAAATAATTCATAGACCAACATGCAAAATATTGATATTGTATGTTGATTTATATAGCAAGATAAGTAATTAAGTTAGATTTAGATAGCTTCGTATCTGGAAAGAAAGGCCGCTAAATAGGTCTATCTGATTTTTTTGATTATTAAACAGATGTCATATTAATATGTAACTTTATAAATTAAAAAGACAAAATAATTGAACAAATCTAGTAATAATAAAAGTAGCATCTGATCAAGCCAACTAGGGCATTCTACACTCTAGTTGTCACACTATATTTATGACAAATGCTGTAGGCCTTATGCCATTGTACCGTATGTTTCTAGAGAACTGATCGATAACAAAACACACTACATGCAGGCAGTGGCGTATCTAGGAGTCTTGAAAAGGGGGAGCCGATTGGGGGAGGTCACGAGGGGAAGGCGATGATTAGGTGAGGAAAGCTAGCTCGCAAAATAAGGTGATTTTAAACTACTTAAGCGTGAATGATTTGGGGGCGAGCGAGTATTTTGGGGGATACACCACTGCATACAGGCATTCATAAAATTATTTTAACCTTCGATGTTTGAACGTATATCTACACCTGTCATATAAGCTAGATTCATGAAAGGGTTATTGAAGTACTCCCGAGATTTGAAATCGCATTCACACTGAATCCGATTTTCGGATCGGAAATTCTACCGAACCTATCAGAAAACCGAATCAGTGTGCAGGAATAGGGACGCTGGCGTTCACCGCATCGGAAACGCAGTCCGAGTCTCGGATCCGATGTGACGGCTGCTTAATACTATAATTAATGATTAATAGTTCTGCTTACCTTGTGGCGCCATTGCGCTATGGATTTCAACAAATAACCCACAAAAAATTAAACAAAAAAGTAATGTATTCGCCATTTTGATCAATACTTCTCTGGAAAACCGTAGAGATTTGAATGCAACAAACTTTTCACACTGTTGTGTTTTTATCGCGTCCCAATATTTAACTACTGATACGAGATATCACATATTTGCATATGCATGTAGATGATGATTAACGAACGATTGGCAACCTAAATAAACACTTTCTCATTTTCCCAACGTTGATCGGTATGTATTCATTTCAATTAAAAATTAGGAAAATATCCTTAACATTAATCATCGAAATCGGTAAAACAAATATTATAGGGGGCGCTGTGTAATTTAATTACTGCAACCACTGCATAATAAACTGTGTTATGTTTATTACTATCTATTTATTTATTTATTTATTTTTTAACTTCGTTTCACTACAACAATAATAAAGTAAACCAAACTGACCTAACAATAAAATAATTGTTATGATTTCGAATAACGTCTTTAAGTAATTTTTTTTTTAAATTAAATAAAATCTGTCTATAACAATGACAATAATAATAATAATATTCTGCAATATTTTAGTGAAACAATTGTACAGAGTGGCTTACTAGGTGATAGCAGAAAGATACTATGGTGATAGTAACCATCAGACAAGGGACGGACGCGCGTAGGCGAATCGTGGGCACTTTATCTGATAAACCAAGCGACCTCTAAATCGAGAGATAGACATGTGATTGGTAATGTTGGTTTTGATGTGTTGATTTTTTGACGTCACGTTACTAATGGCAATACTGTACTATTAGGCCCACAGATTATAGTATAGCATGTTGCAAATTTTATATTTAAATATGATCCGAACGTGCACACAGGTATTGCACTGATTCTTCTTAGACAATCAGTTTCAAAATTTATTTAAAAAATGGAGAAAACCAGGCAAAGTATTATTAAGTTTAGGTCTGAGAGTGCCAGCCATCTAGAGGTGCCATAATCATATATTTTCCTACCTCACCCCAACCATGGTGGGGCTGAAGTGGTCTAGACACTCCATACTGACGATCATGAACATTTTAGCTGGGATGGTTGTAAAATCGAATTCAGAAATTACGAATTGTCTAATGAAAAAAATCCTCCAAATTACTTGTTACAACATTTTGATTGGTGGGAATATGGCCCTTGCGATTATCTCAGACTATCTCAGATTTTAAACAATATTATAAAATAGACTAAAATGTGAATCCCAAAAAATTATTTATTGTGGTCATACACTCATTACAACTTAATATTATTAATATACAATTCTTATCTTTAGTTATTAAGTAGCTTACTATTTCATTGTATCGCTTGCTTGAATGTATGCCACAAATACAGCCCTCTATAGAACATCAAGTGACTGTCACAGCCTCTATGAATATTCCAAACATACACAAGTTAAAGGTAGGCTAGCATCAAAATATATTTTGGCCTTTAATTATATATACTGCATTAAATAATGTTTAAACTGTGTGGGCACACAATATAGATTCACAACTGTAGTCCTAATTTAATATCAAAAACCACTTTCCTTTAAAAATCTGGTTTTATTCTTAATTTCAATATGCAGCACATTTACAAAACCCATTGTTTTGATACAGAAGTAACATATACAATGGCCAAACTGCTCCACACCATGAAGAGTATTCCTGGTCAGCCTCAGAATAGCTTCAATCAAACCTGTTCAACCTTTACCAGGTAGGCCTATAGATTTGGTCCAGGGGAAAATGAAGGCGATATGCATTTGAACATGGCAACAAACTAACTAACCATGTAGTCGAATTCTGACCAATAATATTGCAATCCCACAGAAGGCATGTTCCACCATTTGTGACATGCTCCTACGAAAACTGGGCAAATTCACAAGTTAATATTAAAAGAGAAAATCATCAATTAACTATCAGGTCAGAAATCATTGTTTTATAGTTTTACTGTATAATGTTTTCAATAACTATACTATCAACTGCCAAATTTTAACCACTTAAAAAAAAGAAGTTACAAGTCTGTTACAATATATAAACAAAAAAATGAGAATGCATTATATTTAGACTAGTTGCTAAGCATATTTTTTAATGTTCACAGTGTGTGCAGCCATGCATAACTTGTGCATGCATGTTCACTAAAGTTAGAAGTAGTTTTTCTTAGTTCTGGTAACCCCAATATCTCATAAATTCTATTGCTCCTTATTCAGTAAATGAAAATAATTATCCCCCTCTCCCCCAAGAAATATATACTATTTTAAAGCTAACAAATTTAGAATATAATTATAAAAAAAAAAATGTGTTCGGTCAGGTTTTGTGGGAACATGTCACGTTTAGAAAGTACCTTTCTAATTTTTGGACAATCATTCATGTCTTGTTAAAGATGTAATCAGTTTTCTATAATCCCACTAAGTCACATGATTTTAATATTGCTGATTTGAAATCTACAAAAACTGCTACTCAATAATTCAACTTGAATAATCCCCCAGTTGTTTCTATTAAAAACATTTGTTCACTATCATTAGCATGGTTTTCACACCAAGAATATTCTTCAGCAAACATTTATTTCTTTTTCAAAACTGTCAAAATTGTTGTTTTATAGCACCTTCAGTATTCATCAAACAGTTACCAGAGCTTCACTTGTTTTTTTCGCTCTTTTGGTGTTCTCAATGTCATCTTGTGTGAATGGTGGACCACCTTCCTTGGTTGACTTTTGTTTGAGACATCTACTTCATTTTTCAATGGAGATACTAGAATAAAAGTATCTTGCGCTGCCCCCTGGGTAAGATTACCTGTCTGTTTCCTTAACCTGTTGAAATATTAATATTAATTCAATTCAAATGCTATCAAAGGACAACATGTGTTCAAAATAATTACTTTTACAAATGTGTTCATAGCCTAATACAAATATGAAGTGAGAAACTATATCTAAAGCATAACTGTGTGAGAATAATTTAGATGAAGTTGGTAAAGTGCAAACATATTCCATTGAAGGGAGAGTGTGGAACTTGTATAAAAAGGGATAGGGTATCATAGAAAGAAAACTGTTGACAATTTTTTAACAGCAAGTTCTGCAAATTTGATTATTAGACCTCAAACTGGATTACCTTGTGGTCCGCCTAGATACTGGTTCATCTGTCTTTGCATCTTTCTTAGCCACATGCTGTTTAACTGTACTTTTCCGTAGACTCCTCATCTGTGGTGTTGGTACAGGTGTTCCGACACTTGACAAGAGGCCCGGTGTCAGGACAACAACTGGTGATGGGACAGGTGTGGCTACTTTGGCTATTGTTTTCCTTGCGGAGCGTTTGGCACGAGACCGAGTTTGTGGTGGTGAGAAAATGAAAGAGGGCGTTCCACAATGTTTAGGAGAATCATCTAAATTAATGTAGAAAAATAGTAATTACTGATGAGACATAGATTGGTATAAAGAGCAACATAAATATAAAATTATTTCAAAGTCAGTTTTCAGTATTTACTCCTCCAATAATTCAATAAAATCCAATGAATAGTGTACAAGTAGATTTCTTCTTTAAAAATCCTAAATGCAAAACTAAACATTTACCTTCATTTTCTAATTTTTCTATAGGTTCTTGTTTGATGGTTGGCAGTTTTGATGGACTACTAGTACCTGGGGAGTCCAATTCTGGCAGAGGCTCCTGCTTCACTGGTGATGAAGGACCTAACAGATGTAATGAGAAAAAAATAATGAAGGTCGTACTTGTTGATAAGCTTTCATAGGTTTGGAAAAAGTGGAGCAAAATTTTAATTACTTTTCAATCAATATTAAAGTTTTATTCGCGATATAAAAAATATAAAATATAACTTTTTTTTCTAGAAGGAAAAGAACCTTACAATTGCTGCTGATTCTAATTATAAAATAACTGGAAAAGTTATTAATAAGGTAAAGAAGAATCCAAGGACAACTGATCCAAAATCTAAAAAAAATTTGGACATTTTTTTTTTCGGGTAAAAACATTGTCTAACTAGAGGAACAAAATACTTTTCAAGCTTTAATTAATAAATATATTACTTTGTACGCTCATAAGCCCTTATATGCAGCTATGACAGGAAGCCTGCTGTGTTTGGTTGTCCCTTTTAGTTACCCAGTAGCACAGTTTGTTTATCTTCTTCTCTATCCAACGGTACCAGAATTTCTCCAATACGTTGAGTTTCAAGAGAGATATCAGCAGTTGTCTGTCAGAAAGTGAGTTTTTAGCCAAATATCATGAAAATTTCAAATTGCTCTAACTCATCAGAAAATGCTGGTGCGGAGCCAAAAATTTCACTGTGGGGTTATCTCAGGTAGAACCCCCAACATGCAAAATATTGGACGATTTGAAGGGGGTCGGGCAAAAAAGTGTGTTGGATTCATATGGAATGACTCTATATTTAGGAAGGAATGCTTCTTAATATCTTGCATGGGGGCGCACCTCCATGAGACAACCGAGCGCAGCAGGTACATTTTTTGACAACGATGAGACTTCCATCGTTACTAGGGGAATGAAGTTTACAAACTGAACTGTGCTCTTTTTATTTTATACTCTTTGTTTTGATCAAAGATTTTAGCCATGCGGTCACTACTTCACCAACCAAAATGTATGGGGTGGGTGACCCATATTTCTAAATGTTACTGTGCTTGGATATAACACAATATTTTTTACCTAATAAAAATATGGTTGCTATAAAGCCATATATATTTTCAAAATTATAAAACCCCATTTCAAGATGCACATTTTACTTGCTAAATATATCAACCAAAATTTAAGTAATAACCTGTAACTACTGGTGAACTAGGTATCACACCCTCCATGGCTTCCTCTTTCGGTGGTGACATCTTCAAAGAGGCTGTGAAAGATGTCTTCTTGGGTGCAGAGCTCTCCTGCCTTAAGGTTAGTCCTGGTGTGGTTTGAACTGAAATCTCGGCAAATGTTTGTGAACGAGCACTGCTCTTATCCTCATCCTGATCAAGTTTACTTGGCAGTGCAAATGAAACAGATTTTGACAATGCTGCCCCCATCGGAGATGATTCTGCAGATGCAGGCGGAGTTAGTGTAATTCTTGAGCTAATTGGTGATGTCGGTAAGTCTTGGATTTGTTCATCAAACTGTTCTAATTGTTTACTTACTAAGATCTGACTAAGTGGAGAACGCTGAGCTGAAGGTGGAGTGATATTACCGAATTGTAAAGGTGAGGTAAGTATTGGTGAGAAGGCAAGGTCTATTGTTGCAGTAGGAGATTCTGCCAGTGTTTTGACTGGATGACAAAGAGCAGGGACAGCTGGAAGAGCTTCCTGAGAAGCGGTAGCTATAATAAGTGAAAGCAATAAAATGGTGAGTTAAAACAAAGTGCGATATAAAAGCACAACTGCTATTTTTTGTTTTGTGTTATGAAATAACTGTTTTGAAAAATAAGAATCAAAGATTAGCCTCTGAAACAAAAATTTATATAATGTACAAATATTGACTGCTCATCATGGGAATGGTGAAATCTATTTCCCCGAAGTGATGTGGAGACCATAGCCTATCTTCCCAAGCGATAGGCACGGTCTCCACATCAACGAGGGCTGTAGATTTCACCGTTCCCTGTATCTAGAGCAGTCAATATTTGTTTAATATACCTCATACATAGATTCTACGAGACCTAAAAAAGTAATGAAAATAGTACACACAATCAAAGGGCCAATCTATCTCCCAGCGAGCGTCGTAGAGGTCGCGTCTCCTTTACTGTTCGTGCGTGTCATAATTACATAGCAACGCAGCCTAAAGATTGCACATCTTGCGGCAGGGCAAAAAGTACTACTTTTCAGGGGAATATTACTGTCTATTGCCCGCTTTTTAACAAATCAGATGCCTAGAATCTATGAATGAGGTACATAAATAATAACTATTTTCCAAAATAGTTTTAATGATTAATTTCTTTATATGGCTATCAATTCCCATATACCTGTTTCTTGGAAGCCATCTGGTGCTTCTTGTTCCATATCCTCTGCAGGGGCATCTTCAACCTTCTTCGTTTGATGAGAATCAAGATTGAATGTGATTTCATTATCTATCTCTATTTCTTCAATTTTTTCCTTGACTTCTGAATCTATTATTTCTTCCTTGACTTCTACCACTCCTAATTCCTCCTTGACTTCCAACATTTCTACTTCTTCCTTGACTTGTTCTGGATTCTGGATTCTTACAACATTCTGTGGAAGACCTTCAGGTGTGCTAAACTCTACAACTTCTCCAAGGTTGTCTTTTTCTGGAGTGAGGAATTCAGGAGTCACACAACGCTCTGGATCATCTTCAACACCATCTGTTGGAATTGATCTGGAGAATAATGAAACATAGCAATAATGATGAAAATCATTTTTTAGATGAAAATAAAAAATAATGATTTACTTTATTTATGTGAAAACCAACAGCGACAAAACATTACCACTTTAACAGGCTTGTGTGTGCGCTGAACCGTGGAGATCTCTAGGTCCCCGGTTCAACTCCCATCGCTGCCTCTCCTTGTGTTTCAGATAGAGGGCTGAAATACAAGTTACAATAGCGCACCGTCTTTCGGATGAGACGTTTAAGCCGTTGGTCCTGAGTGCATTTATGGCCCATGTGCACGTTAAAGAATACAGTACACTCTTCGGAAAAGAGTAGGGGATTGTCTCCCGGTGTACTGTCCAATCACCACCAGAAGGACCCCACTGGAAATTAGTCTTCTTCTAGACTTTCGTGAGCTATCTTTGGTGTTTACACTGAATAAATCCAATCCAATCCAATAAATAATACACTAAAAAATTGTTATCTACTCACTGATCCATGTCCTCTGGTGACGGTGACCTTCCCTTGGTGTCCTCGGAGAAGCGGATGTGCTTCAGCAACGTTGTCTGGGATGTAGGCGCAGATTCTGCCTTTTGCTGATCGTGCAAAGAAAAGACTGGTGGTGGCATCATTTTGATGGCAGTTGCTCTGACAGAATCTGTTATATTTATATTTGAAGGTCATGAAATTAATAACATAAAGGCCTGTTCACATTAATTATTTTAAGGTGACAAATATCTGCGATTTGCCAATAGATGTGTGCATCACTGATTTATGTCCCACACAATTTGATAGTGTGGACAGAGCAACATTTGTGGTTCAATTAAACAGTTTGTTAACATATTCAATGTTTATTAGGTCAAATGTTGAATATTCATGAACACTTATGCATATTACTAAGAAACTATGAATAATAAGTGTGCAGAGGTTATACATTGTGTATGAATGTTACTATTTCAGATGAACAAGACAATAATAATGTAAAGCAATTTAAGAAATTTGGAGTTGCTAAATACAATTAACAGCAAAACCAAATTCAATATTATTAATTTAATAATATAAAATTAAATTTAATAATACTAAATTTCACGATCTAATGTAAAAAAGCATAAATATTTAAAGCAATTTATAAGTTTATCTAAAAAAATGTGCACAGTAAAAGTAGAAACAAAATACAAAAATTATAAAGTTATTAGGTCTAAAATAATACATTGCCTAGTCGAATCCAAAATGCCATTGAAATATTGTTCGACTAAAATTTGACTTACAGATTGATAATGGAAAACACAACAATTTGGCATGTAAAATAAGATCGACTTAGAAATTTTTCGACTTAGGCAAGTTTAACTGTAAATTGTTTCTTGAAAGTTGATCACCTGCTTGAGTTCCTCCTGTATCTTGGACTTGTGTTGTCAGATGTTTGGACTTTTTCTGCCCTTTTAGAATGGACTGAGGTGTCTGCTGCTGAGGTGGTTGTTGCCTGTTCAAATGACCTGGTGACCTCTGTTTACATATGCATTAAGATTTTATTGAGAGCTGTTAGTGTCATGAAGGATGTAACTACTTATCACTTTCTGTAACAACTTTACATGCAAGATCCAAAGAAAATGCTTCAAAAACCTGATTATTATAACATGAAATCTACTAAAAACACTGGATATATGCAAGTTATATATACGGCATCATCATTATCAACTCAATGGCAACATAAATTGAATTTCTTAGCAATAAAAAAAATGTTTCTTTCAAATCCGACAGAGAGTGGCTCTCGTCTTATAAAATAAAAGTGATGATAAGCAGAGCTGTATTTTAGAGGGTAAGACGCTTGCCTTCAAATACCACAGTCCTGTGTTCAAATCCTGTCAGTGATCACATTTTTTTCTCCGAACCCAAAAACAATGCGCTTTGAGAATTTACTTGGTATTTGTTCTAACAACTGCTTTTATTGACAGGACTTGGAAATCATTAACACTAAAACAGTTAATGTACATACAGCCATTGAGTGAGAAATACTTATACTGTACAATATTTGTTTAGTCATGTGAAAAAATTCTGATATTTTTAGGATTTTAACCCAAGATTACAGGGTTTCAAGATGACCACTTTAACAGTTACTCAATTCCATGTTTAACTTGTAGAAGACTGGTTCTTCACAAATATTAGAATAATACTATTACATTTGTTATTGAAAATATAGCATAAAATATTTACCTTTTTGATTGGTGGAGTCTGTAGAAGAGACAGCATGTCTGCACCTGTGTAATCCATTCTAAATCAAATCAAAATGGAATCCGTAAATTTAGAAATTACATATGCAGTTTAAATTAGATGACCTAGCAATACTAAAAGTGTGTTCCGGTATCCAATCCCAACTTAGATGCATTAAACATGAGTCTCTATGTCCCACAAATAAAAGTTGAATCATGAGGGAATGGGGAACAGAATGAGAAAAGAGTACATGTAAAAAAAAAGTAAAAGAGAACATGTGAAAAAGAGGCTGTTGGTACATCAGAATCAAATTTTACTTTTTTTAAATAAAGCAGGGTTTTTCAATTTCCAAGAAAAATGCGGCCAAATCAGTAATTTTTTTAAACGGTTTACGGCAAATATCTTAAAGCTAAGTAAATGCTATAAGAAATTTGATTGCTGTAGAATATTTTTGAGAAAGAGTAGATAAAGCTCACCTTTTAATATTGTCATGTACGGCGAAGGAAAGCATACTCAGCCTTGAAGACCCAAATGACTTTTGGGGTGAAAATGTGGCTGCCCCAGGTAATGTTTCATCCATAAGGTCTTCTATATTGCTTGGATAAATGGTTGCTGCAGTACCAGAGCTAAAAGATAAAAAGAACAACTTTCATTTAAACTGTTCAATCAAAACACATGTTGACTTGAATCTGCCTGAATTGAGTCTTTATTGATGTTTTGAAAAAAGGAAAGAACACATCTAAACTACCTGTCTGGGTAAACTTACCTGAGACGTGATTTGTGATGAGGGGTAATAGGTGTGGTTACAAAAGGTTGGTGACTTTTGGTGCTAAAAACGTCCTCAGTCCTAAAAAGTATCACATGTCGATAACATATTAGAATACAAGTTATTAATTGAATTTAAAAAAAAGCTATGATTACGGTATTAAAAGTACACTGCATATCCAACACATAAGCTAATGTTGCAAAGACAAAAAGCAACATTGTTCACACAAGATACTGTACACCACTACAATAACATTATCCAATGTGTCATAACACTGGTAAAACACTACTTCACAACAGTAACATAAGGGTATATACAGAGAGTAAGGTTGTCCTTACTGGGCTACAACTGCACATTGCGTGACATGTTGCTTTCCAGTTGTTGGCAAGTTGCCAAAGAGTCGCAAGGGTGACATAAGCTTAGCTTTAGTCTTCTGTAGTAAGCATGTATTAAGAAACTAACCTGTTTGTAAGCGGTGTCTCCTGCTCTCTGATCTGTTCCCTAGCCTCAGCTATCTTGTCTAATACAGAGCTGATGAGACTTGCGTGTGATATGACTTGGCTGGCCTTTGCAGGGTTAATCACAGTTGACAATGGCTTTGGTTTTTGCACTGAGAATGTATAACAGAATTAAAGAAATTCAATATTTCAAATGGCAAGCTGAAGCTTAGAAATTCCAGAACTAAGGAGTGATATTAATAACTTCAACTTTCTTTTTTCTCAAAATGTCCAAATCAATGAGCTCAATCACCAAGCGCATAGAGGCTTTTTCGCATGATGCGCTCTACAAATCCAACTATTATTATTATTATTATTATTGATATTTTTTACAATGCAATTATGATTTAAATGCTTCCATAACATTAAAATGCATGGTAGCCCTGCAGTATATAATTTTCACAGAGTACAAGCTTAAAAATTGATTATAAAGCCCTCAGATCCTATATAATACCAAAGATGTGGTCCAATTAGCTCTGACCCTTGACTCTGCCAGGGATTCTAGGTGACCCCACCCACACTCCAGTTTGTCCATATTTGCACACCTGCACCCTCTAATGGCAATCCTAATAGGACCAAATGAAGTTCTGTCCAAAAATGTATTAAGAAATTGTCTGCTGAGGAACACCCTGACATCTAGGTAAACTTCATTTGTGAAAAAAATTACAATGATGTTAAAATATTTTTTGATAAGTACCTTCTCTTCTGATGAACGGTGCCCTCTTGTGACTTGGTTCACTTCCAAAAGCCAGCTTACGTTGAACAGACGGCAAGAGTTTAGAATAGCTTTCGACAATAACATTTCTTGTGGCATGATGCTCCTTGGATTTTAAGTCAGTTCCAGTCTACAAAATCATAAAATGTGGGATTGATTAGTAAACATAAGTTTGGTTTTTTCCTCAAAGAGATGCATTTTTATAGTGAGTGAACCTACCAACTCATCCAACTGGGCTGGTAAAAGCACATGATCGCGTGTCGGAGGCATCATAAATGTCCCGGAGGCATTTTTGGGCCCTGCTGGGCTATAGTGTACAGACAACCTTTGGTGAAGGAGGCATTTTATCGAGATAATTTTTATGGTCGGATGCACAAGCTTCTTAAATACTTAAAATAATGTGATGCTTTTATAAAGTTTTATTATGAGGTTTAGGAAGTGGTTAAATTTTTAATCAAGAGTAAAACAATATAACGTGGTGTTCCAGGATTTGAACGTAGGACCCTGAAATTTGGTGAGATAGCATCTTAACCATCTAGCAAGACATCCACTAATTACTGTTATGGTATACTATTCTTGAGGAAAAAATGTTGTTTACTAAAGTACTGTTTTCAATTTATAAGTGACAAATGCCTAGGATTTGCCAATATATCTGGTGGAGACAAAATACCTTGCACACATTGCAAATTGTGTTTCAGAGATAATGGCCAAAACATGTTGGAATGTTGTAATTTTCAAAATCTATTCTATTGCACTAAACTACACTTTATGTAGATCTATACATCATGCTTTGTTATTTTTTATTTGTGACATAAAAATGAAATAAAACTTATTGATCAAACATTTAATTACACTATGAAAAGGATATTATCAATTAAAAGGAGGAAAAATGCAAATTATTTTCTCTAAACATACCACCGTACAAGCTAATGAATGATAATTATTAGTACCAGCATTTTATGTGTAATATAATGATATGTGAATATATTAAACAGAGACATGATAATAGTTGAGGGTATATCCTTCCTTTCAATATTGTGTTTGCCTGCACATATATAAGTGTGCTTGCTATACTAGTGGCAGGAGCGTCACTGAGCTACTCAGGCTTAAGGTAAGGTTTCATCTTAAATTAGGAAGGAAGTCAAGGATAACTTTTAGGCCTTCGCACTAAGTACATACTTAAAACAAGATGTTCCGAATTATTGAATATACTGAATGCACAGTAGGAGCAATGATAAATTGTGTAGAATATAAATGTAGGGTAAGTCTTCCCGAGAAGTTTATACGTCCAGTGTTTTATATATTATAAGTAAGGACACTATACCTATACGTCTGCAAAAAACAGAAATTTGTGTCAGAAACATAAAGAATTTAGCCATTTTTTGGTAAGGAGGATGGTAAGTTTATGTGAGAACTTGACTTTCTTTAATGCTTAACAGTAAAAGCATATAGCAATACAGTAGATTTTTTAATGTGGCACATCATTTATTTCTGTCATTATGAAAAATCCAGCAGGATGCCTGGCCAAAAACCTATTCAAAAATAGTAGTAACAGTCATAATTGAAACATGACATGGAATTTTACACTTTACAGTGTAAAATAGCCTTCCAACCACTTTCCTGGATAACTCAGTATTTGATTATTGTATGCTAAAATCTTAAGGTCAAACAATAAAATTCTTCTGTTGCCATAAAGTTTAAGTGCTATAAAAGTCAGTAAGGATGCTAATTTTTTTTTCTTCTACATTTGAAGTAGCTTATCAGAGTAACTGAACCGTGGAGATCTCTAGGTCCCCGGTTCAATTCCTATCACTGCCTCTCCTTGTATTTCAGCTAGAGGGCTGAAATTCAAGTTACAATAGAGCACCGTCTTTCAGAAATTTAAAGAAATTGTTTTTGCATTATTAGGTATTTTTCGCCGCACAATGTTAACCTTAGTGGATGATGTCATCATTTATTCATCTTGTGTTGTGGAGTACGTTAATTTCAGGATTTTACATGCTTGACGTACGTTAGTTATGGGTTTGCGCATGCATATTTCAATTTGTTTACAAAAGGGGCGGAGCTATCGCGCTGCATGTTGGGTACTAACGTTAAAGTAATGTAACATCGTGCGGCAAAAACTACCTATTATAGGCAGACCATCACAAGCATTTGTTGTTTAAGTTTTGCCTCTCAACATTTTGAGCACAGCAGTGTTTTGTTGCCATAGAAAAAAAAAATTCTGAGAGGTTTCAGATACTTTAAATGTTCTCATTTTGGGAGGATAATTATTTACACTTAAATAGTAAATAAGGACAAATGTTAATCATAATAATAAATAAGAATAATTATATATAAGATGATAATGATTTATTATACTTCATTTGTTGTTTAAGTTTTGCCTCTCAACATTTTGAGCACAGCGGTGTTTTGTTGCCATAGGAAAAAAAAAAATTCTGAGAGGTTTCAGATACTTTAAATGTTCTCATTCAAGGGTTTATTTAAGAGCCGGCGGCCGGCGCATTCGATCGGCTACTACGATGTTTCCGCCGGCTACTTCAATCAATGCTGTACAAAAATTAATACAAAAACCACCAATGTAAATAGCGCAACAGGCCTGTAAAGAACCTTATTTACCTACACGAAGTTAACTTGCAATAGTATGCACTCATTTCGATGTTCGTTTCTGTTGAAAGTTCGTTAAAATGTCTACCAATTTTCAGACTCCATGTTTGACTTTCATAAACTCGCAGCGTAAACAAAGGTAAAGTTCAAAGTTCGGCAGTCGCGCCTGGGTGAGCCCATCAAAGAAGCCACGCCTCCAAATCACATGTTAGCCAATAAGATAATAGAAATTTCTCCTCCACCACGTGCTCAGGTGATGTCGATTTACATCGCCCAAACTCTTTTTCCGTACATTGGGTTTTCTTTCCGCGGAGAAGAAAAAAACAGATCGTCATTTAAAATTAATTTGTGTATGACTATGAACCTTTTATTTTCATTTCATTTTTATTTTACTAGCCCTCTTTGTGATGACATAGATATTTCAGAAATGATAAATAATTTTAAAAAAATCAACACTGGCTCAAATTCGTTTACATTCGGTGGCGGAGGTAGCAAGCCGAACCAACTATATTGAATGCTGTTACACTCACAATTTCAGAGTCATAGATAGTACAATGATTAAAACGACAGAGCAAGCCAAAATCGTCTCAATTCACATCACATGAGACATTTTTTTTCCAATGTGGTGTCCATTCCTTTTCGATATCTGCATAAATTTTAGAACTATTTTTTGCTCTCCTTAGATGTTTTCTTCAACGCAGATATAGGGCATAGGCCTAAATGGTGAATCCCCACAAATTTCAATTGTATTTTCAATTTATTTTGGTGGATTTTATTAAATGTGTATAAACTTAAAAAAAAAAATGTATTTCAATTATTGAATCAATATTCTGACCTTCCGATGTTGAGCACGAAAAATTTGTAAATTCTAGGCCTATTCTAACCTACTCAGTAAGTATACTAATCAAGGAGGTTCTGATCATCACTGCATGTGATTGCACATGTGCAACCACTGTGCAGTGTATACTAAGAAGTTCAAATGGGAAACTAATTTTCCACACCATATGACATACCACGATGTTATCATCATCAATCAATGTGTTTGAATCAATATTAGGACTACAGGAAAATAATTTATTGATAAACATTGTTCATTTTGTAGGATGCTTGAATACCATACAAAATTAAGGAATATCATATGAGTGAGTTCTGTATGTGTGTAAACTGTCTATTTCTTAGCTAGCTAAGTCCTGGTATTAGCAACTGAGGTGGCTGCAGGCTTATGACGCCTAAGCCTAGATACTGTAGCCTACACAGTGGCTGTAGGCCTATCTAACCTAGGCCTAAACTCACGATACGATATTTTCAGCTATTGTATGATATTCCTCTCATGAATTAAATTTAGGCATTTTGAGATTCGCGAAAGTTTAATGTCGCGAAAACGGCCGAAATTATCAATTCGCGAAAGTTTCTGGTTTACAGTATCTATTTAGGCTAGGCCTATGTATGAAGAATATGTAAAAATATCAACTTTTTTACAGCTCAGTAGTTGATTCTGAAAACTGTTTAAAAAAAATGATGTAGAGAAATTCCATTCAAATGGGCTCTAAAACCTTGGAGGCAATGGCGCTTCCCCCTTGACCCCGATGGGGGAGGGGGGGGCTAGGCGGCACCCCCTATACCCCCGACCTATTTTAATTTACTCTCCTGTTACTTTCAAATTTCTCCTGCTACTCAAATTCATAAATAAACCCCTGTCATTTTGGGAGGATAATTATTTACACTTAAATAGTAAATAAGGACAAATGTTAATCATAATAATAAATAAGAATAATTATATATAAGATGATAATGATTTATTATACTTCATTTTTGCTTGTTTAATTGATATTGTAATTTCTTTATTATATAGAATATATTTAATGAACTAGTTGAGTTAAATATGTGATTGGTTTAACTTTCGAGGTGTATTATTATTATTAGTATTACTATTATTACATTGTAAATATACATATTTTACTTTACATTTAAATTGGTACAATATAAATAATGATAATGATGATAATAATAACAATAATAGTAACATTAACAAAAAAAAGTTTATTAATTGTAAGATGTTTAGCTATTTATGAATTTGGAGAGTCAACAATATCATGAACTTGAGTATATTCTAATTTACAGTCCAGCAAACTTTTGTTGGTTGCATTTTTTTTTTGCTATATTTTTAAAAAATTGGATATGATGTAGAGTAGACATTGATAAATCAAAAAAGTATGTGCAACATTTTTTTTTTCATACGTAAGGGGGGTTGCCAGCCGTTTCAAAATGGCCGCCATTTTTTCCTAAAATTGTCACCAATATTGTAAATTTATGTCATTGAAATGCAGTATTCAATTGGAAATCCACTCTTAACAATGACAACAGTTAACTAAATATTGTACACATTTTTGAGCTATTA